TAATTTCCGTACATTGTGCTGTCATTTTGGCACTTTGAATCTGCAATACTCTCTTGATTTTCCATTGCTTCATTGACATTCAAATTGATACTATGAGATTATTTGCCAATATCAATTTTATAAAAGAATATACTAATGTATATTCAAAATGAAGACAGACAATATTTAATAACATTTTACGACACTCAAGAATAAGGATAAAAGATCAGACCACCCAAATATTCAACAAAAGAAGATGTTTAAAGAAAAATATAATGTAGTCACAATGAAATAATACTCAATTACTAAAATGGAATTTTCAAAGAATCTGCAAAAACCTCAGAAAACAAATTTATAATGATAATAATCAGTATTTAAGGTTAATGTGTTAAGCAATGTGATAAGCATTTTGTAAGGATTATTTACATCAACTAAGTGAGTACGATTTTTAGGTTCAGATGGGAAAACAGAGGCTCTGAGACATTAAGAAAATGGCCCAAAGATACATAGTGATTAAGTGGCAAAATTGGGAAGCAAGTTCAGTTCTGTCTGATTCTAGAGGCTGCAGTCTTATGAAAAAAACATAGTATGAAATTTTAAGTATCAACACTTCATAGTAGCTATTTTGACCATGGTGTTCCTAAATTGTATTACAAATCCACTTCTTTCTATGTAGCCTTCTGAATATAATTTACATTTTTCATTGCAGCATAAGTTTAACCAAAGGTCATCATGAGTATTTCTGCTAGTTCTTAGATATAAAAATGAACATATACACTTTGTGGATGGACCTCAAGGAAATCTGTACTTACATTAAAATGGTATGAATTATTGTGCATTTCGTATTCTTAGGTCTGCTTCTGGTAGATTGTGGGGTCCTCTTTCTGTTGAGGTCATTTTTCTGTTCATTGTAACCTCTTACTTCTTTTTAATTTGCTGCTTTCAATTTTTCATTATCATTGAAGAGAAATTCTTGCTAGGAATTTCTTCTTCCCTGATACTATTAGGAAAATCCATGTGAGAAACTTTGTGCTATTTATTTCTGACTATTCAGACATCACTTTGTCTCAGTTTTTAGTTTTAACTATGTTCTTTTTCAATGAGATACTACATAACTTATTCAAATGGGCAAAGGAGGCTGAATGGGCCTAAAATGTGAACGGAGCCCTTAAGTCAGCAATAATAAAGCATGGGAATAAAGGCTCTATAGAAGATTTCAATAGAATCAGGAATTTATATCCCTAATATTTGTTGCAAAGCTAAACAAGGAAGAATTCTCTTCTAAATTGATAAGTTACTCCTTTACAGACATTTGCAGCTCAGTGAGAAGTGAAATTAATATAATAATCCAGCCAATAGATTGATGGGAGATACATATGCTATTCAATGGGCATATTCCAATCTCATGATTTGGGGAAATTTTCCAGGAAAAAAGGAGCTGATTAACCTCAGTTTCAAGAAATACACATAACAAAAATATTTACCTCTACTCCTTCTTAAGACTTCATTAAAATTATAGTAACCAAAATAAATTGATTAAATGAAAAACAACGAACAGGAGAGTGATCTTCATTGGCAAGAGATTTCAACAAATTTACAAAAGTCGTAAAGTGGATAGAGGAAAGGCTTATGAAGGTGTAGGATGAGAAGCTGCAGGCTCATGTATGCAAAAAGCAGCTTACACCTGCAGAGACAGCCCTGCAGAACCTGGAGAGCATTAGAACTCAGATGGCAAAAGAAGGAGTGATGAATCACAGAATGAAACTTACAGTCGAAAGCACCCATTTCCGTATCTGAAATCACAATTCTGGAGAGGCAGGTGTGTGAAACCTCCAGCCAAAAAAAAAAAAAAAAAAAAGAGAGAGAGAGAGAAGAAAGGGGCAGTTAAGTAATTTAATGAATATCCTGGAAATAACTAAGGTAGGGAGTCATAGGCCCAGAGTACAGGCCTCTACATTCTGGCTTTTGGAGTCTCCTGGCTAACTGTAGAAAGCAACAGCCTGCTTTCTACAAACAGAAGTCATTCTTTACAAGATACAATTAACCAAATAAAGATTCTATAATCCTCCAGTCAGAGCTCACTAGACTTTAAATAAAACTTGTAATCAAAGTGGGAAAGACTGAGTAAAAGAAACATAAAATTAAAATGATGGGGAGCACCCGGCTGGCTCAGTTAATAGAGCATGTAGACTCTTAATCTCCGGGTTGTGAGTTCAAGCCCCACATTGGGCATAGAGCCTATTTAAAATTATAAATAAATAATGGTGGTAGTAAGTCAGGGGGGAGAGTGGAAGAGATAATTAAAGAAACAGGACTTCTAAATTATTATTCCCAGATAAATTTGACAAGATATTACTTTCATAAAGCAGGAAAATTGGGTATAAAAAAATTAAATCAATTATAATTTATAAAATTAATCTTAAGTTGTAAAAGCAATTCAAAATTATAAATCTGTGAAAAGAAGGAAAAATTGAATGAAAGAGTTTAAAGATAATTTTTAAAAATCTCCCTGATATTATGAAGAAAAGAAAAAGAGACATTTTTTAAGAAGAAAATAAAATTCAATTGAAATGTTTTAATGCCCACTTAATTGAAGTTTATAAAAAGAGAATAAGTTAAGTGAACAGGTAGAAAATTCTCAAAGAAATGAGAAAATACTCAGAGTTGAAGGATTTGAGTCTCCAAATTGAGTGAGCTCACCAAATGGCAATTACATTAAAGTATTTAAAAATAGGATAAAATACCTTAAAAATAGCACAGGAAGTTTCAGAACTCTAAGGATAAAGAGAAAATACCATATTATCAAAGAGAATATACAGTAATATTTACTATTACAATTATCTGATTGACATTTGGCTTCTCAGCAATAACAATGGATGATCAAAGACAATGGAGGAATACTCTACAAGATCTAAGGGCAGAAAGGTGGTTAAACTAAAGTGGTGTACCAAGCAAACTATTAATCACATGAAACAGCATTGTCGGACCATAGGATAGGTCCTGTGGCCTGTTATCATCACTACAGAATCCCTAGGGAAATTGCCCACTGTTCTAATTCTACAGCAGAGTTGACTTGAACCAGGTCGTGCTAACCTGGGGAGGCTGAAAACAATGGAAGAATAATTTGTGTTGGCCTGAGTATATTATGCTTTATAGTAGTTTCATTTTGTGATAGCCATTTTTTTGTGCTTTATTTAGGTTAGACCACAGGTTGTTTAATTCAGAGACTAATGAGATAACTAATGAGGTTATGGTTAGCCCATCTGGACTATGTACTAAGCTACTTATTCCAATACTCCCATAGCTAGTTATGTGGAAAAGCTGTTAAATTTCCAAAAGATGCGATGTCTCCTTCATTCATTCAAACTTTATGATTCAATATCATTGATGGCTAGTGATGCTTTTTGGTTCTTGGATGATTGTAACAAATTATGGAGAAATGTTATCCTCACCATTTTCTTGAGTTTACACATTTTCCAAAAGTGATGAAGGACATTAACTCATGACTCAAGAAGCTTAGGAAAATGCAAGCAAGATAAATACAAAGAATGTGATACCAAAACACTAACAATAAAACTAATGTAAAATAAATACAAGGAGAAAGTCTTAAAAGCAGTAGGGGTGAAGGGGAGATACATTCCTTTCAAAGGACCAGCCATAAAACTGACATTTCCATTATTTCCAAAGGAAATAATGAAAGTCAGAAGCCAGTAAAATGCCATTGTCAAAGTGATGAAAAAAAATAAAATAACTATCAAAACTGGAATCAAAAATCCTACAAAAATGTACTTCAAAAGCTAAAACATTTTACGACCAAAAATATTAAAAGAACCGGTCATCTATACATCTTCACTAAGGAAAAAACTAAAGAGAATTCTTTAGGCAGAAGAAAAATAAAAGTTTGAACATAGACAAAGAAATAAAAAACAATAGAAAGGATAAATCTAGAAGAATATTACTATGAATAACAACAACAATAATATATTTTGGCATTAAATATATATATAAAGAATTAAAATGAACAAAACATACACCAGAAACTAATATAACACTGTGTGTCAACTATATTCAAACAAAAATTTTAATTAATAAATAAATAAATGAATGAATAAATGAAATGAAATGCACAAAATGACAGCACCAAGAGCGATAATTCATATAAGCTCATTGCATTATCTGAAAAGTAGTAAAAATAATAAATTATATTGGCTTTAATAAGTCAAGAGGTGTATGTTGTAGTCTCCTATTCAGGAAGGTATAGTTAACAAATTAATGGAGGAGGTAAATGAAACAGAAATAAATAACCTAAAAGAATTCAGGAAGAGAGAGAAAGGGACATAAAACAGGTCAAATAATAGAAAACAAATAGTAAGATGGTAGATGAAAACCCAAATATGCCAGTATTTACACTAAATATATAGAGACAAAATGCTCCAGTGTCAGAAGATTAAGTGAAATATAAAAACAATTATTTAAATTTTATAGGAAATTGTATTATATAAATACAGAAACATAAATATATTTAAATTATTACTTAAATTTTTAAAGAAAATCATACCTTGTTTAACTATGGCTTTGAAACAGAGGGTACAATTGACAGAGCTTGGGTGGAAGATAAGCAAGGAAAAATGGGCAGCTAAGAGAGACTTTCTATGGTGGATGACACAAAAATAAGTTTAACCACATTGTTGAAGGTTGCAGAGGTAATCAGCAAAAGAACTGTATTGGGAAGAAAGGAACTATATTGGGAGGAGGAAAAGTTGAAGGAGATGTAAGTGAACCTGGTCTTCACTGACTGTGGAAGAAATTCAGTGGAAAGCAATTAAGAGAGATCAGTTAAAAATTTGCCATTTAAGAACAATTACCTTTGGAGGCAGAACTGGGTTAGAGAACGTTTTCATTACTTGATTCTTTTAACCATGCATATGGATCACAATGACTTAACATTTCTAAAAATAGATGAGTACACATACACTTCTGATATGAATTTTTAGAACATTTCCCCTTGTTGATTATTACTTCTACTTACATTCTTGTTTGACTGACAATGGAACAATCTTTTCTTCATTCCTTAGAGGATGATCCATACGCACAGTCAGATATTGGAGACCTAGGGACCTTACAGTCTCCAAGGAGATGTTGTACATTTTAGTGATAGTCACCGTGCCATTTGGGTTCTGAGCAAAGTATTCCTCTGGTGGATTAATCAAGACTCGTGATGGGAAAAGGGATATTTGAGGAACAGGTTTTCCCACAGCTGAGTAAATAAATCTAAGAAAATCTTCAGAGTCAAGATTGGACTGGAGTTCAGTTTTTAATTCAGATACAGCTGAGACAAAAAAGGAGACACAAAATTAAATATAAAATATATGTCGTACCTGATTTCTAAGGTGTTAAAGATAGACTTCCCCAAATATTTATATGATGACAAAATGTTGAAGCATGTCCCTTTCAGACACCTCTCCTCATATTTTGCAAAGTCTCACAATTCCGTCCCTTACACCTACTATGCTCCAATTTAAGAGAAATGCTTCATTATCTCCACTTTCATTCAACCTTAAAATTATCTTATATAAACCTCCAATACTTTAAATTTTCAGCAAAATAATGAGGGGACACTATGATACTAACTATAACTATTCCTTCAACATTTTGTTCTTATTTTTAAGTCTTCTTTCTTCTTTCATTTTCTCCACTCTCTCTTTTTCTTTTCCTCTCTTTCCCAATGAAAATTCTGATGCCATTCACGAATTTTATCTGCCAGATTAAAATCAGTGCAGTGTAAAAGTTAGATGAGAGGTCAGAAGACCTAAATATTATGCCTGGTCCTGCACTGTGTGAAAATGGGAAAGTCATGTAACTATCATTGGCTTCCTTTTTTTTTTTTCTGCTGTATAACAAAAGCATGGGAGGCCTCTATTATAATCTTTCCTTCTCTAACATTCTTTGTCTGTACCTTAACCTTGAAAGACCACATCCCCCAAATTTTGACTCTACATAAAAACATTTATATACCTATAATGTTAAGGCAGATTTGTCCGCCATGGCTGCCATGTGGGAACACATTAAATAGACATTTATAGCAGGCTTCATCTTCAAATGTTACTTCACGGATAGTTATGAATGAGGAATTGGGTTCGATGACCTCACAGTGCAGCCGATCTCTGTATGGTGGAAGAATCTTTTCTCCATATATACTGCTATATGTGCCAATATTTTGTGGCAAAGAACCTTGAATCTTCTGCCAGGTAATTTGCACAACATCTGCTGGAGTTGTTAAATTGCAGAAGATGGTCACATTTTCTCCAAATATGGCTGTTTCATTATTTTTGTATTTTATTCTGTATGGAGAATCTGAAAATAAAACCCAGTATGAATTAAGAGAAATGTACTTTCATACTACCTTGGACTTACCCCTATCATAGCACTTACCTCTCTGTTTTATAATTATCTTTTTATATGTGTCTCTTTCCCATTAGAAAATGAACTTTCCTATCTTCTTCACCATTGATTAGTAGTTTCTAAAAGTGTCTCTGGCATATACTACCTAATCAATAAATATTTACTGAGTACAAAAATTGAAACATATATTAACCAACACAAGTAAATGTAATTTTGATGACATTCTGGAGGTTGAGTATGAATTAGCTTGAGGGTGACAAAATCCTCAGGGCTCTAGTCCATAGGTTTCACCAACATGAACCCCTCTAGGTTCTTATAGTGAAGAACCAAGAAAAATCACCTCATATCTTTGACAAAGGAAGGGGAAAGTAGCCATATTGAAACAAGCCCAAACCATTTTCTATTTAAAAAACAAACAAACAAACGAACAAACAAAACCTACTCTCCAGGGAAAAGACTTTACCAGATCCTTATGTTACACAGGTAGAAGGACAACGACCCTATCCTTGTTCCCTTTAGTTTTCCTGTCTTACCTAAGGTGGGAAAGGAGGAGGAAAAAGTAGGGAAACTTGTGAAGGTCACAGCCAAGGGTCATAGGCCCACCAAAGGAGTGAAATTTGAACATAAGATTTTAAAATACTTCCCTTCCTAACTCTTCATCACCATATCAATAGAGAGCTAATATAATGACAATGGATTACAGCTGAAATGGTTGCAAGTCTCGGACTTTTATTAACAAGGAATTCTTAGGAAAATTAAAAATCAGCAGAAGAGACAAAAACAAAAAAACTACATGAATTTGAAACCCTTGATACAAAGATTTATAATAAACAATAAACACAACCCAACTCCTTGCCAGATTAACTTAAAACCCATGCTAAAGCTCTACTTACCTTGGTTCTTATTATCTGATACATCATGTCTAGATTTCAACAAAAAAATTATAATGCATGCTAAAAGCCAAGAATAAAAACAGTCTGAAGAGACAAAGCAAGCATCCAAGCCAGACTCAAATATATTACAGATTTTGAAATTATCAGATGGAATTAAAATCAGCTATGATTAATATAGTAAAGACTCTCATGGAAAAGTAGACACATGCAAGAATGCATAGATAATGTAAGCATAAATATGGAAACTTTAAAAAGAATTAAAAAGAAAATGCTAAAGATATTACAAGAAAACAAAACTATAGACCAATATCTCTTATGAACATAAATGCAAAAATCCTAAACAAAATATTAGCAAATTGAATCCAAAAAAGTATTAAAAAAATATACTCCATGGTCAAGTGAGATTCATCCCAGGTATTCAAGGCTGGTTCAACATTTGAAAATCAACTAATGTAATTTATTTAATCAACAGGCTAAAATAGAACATATTTGATAATCATAGCAATAGATTCAGAAAAAGCATTTGATAAAATCCATCACCAATTCATAATAAATCTTAGTAAACTAGGGGTAGAGGGGAATTTCCTTTACCTGATAGAGAATATCTACACAAACTTACACCTGGGAAAACTTGAAACTTTCCCACTGAAGATCAGGAATGAGGCAAGGATGTCACCTCTCACCACTCCTTTCCAAAATCATACTAAAACCTCTTCCTAATGCAATAAGGCAAGAAAAGGAAATAAAATGTATGCAGATTGGAAAGGAAGGCATAAAACTGTCTTTGTTCACAGATATGATCATCTATGTAGAAAATCAGAAAGAATTAACAGAAGAAATTTCTAGAACTAATAAGCAATTATAGCGAAGTTGTAGTATTACAAGGCGATTGTACAAAAGTCAGTCACTTTCCTGTATATCAATGACAAGCAAGTGGAATTTGAAATTAAAAACACAATACCATTTTCATAATAAGCAGCCCCCAAATGAAATACTTAGGTATAAATCTAACAATGTGTACAAGATCTATATGAGGGAAATATAAAACTCTGATGAACAAATCAAGGAAGAATTAAGTAAATGAGAAATTTTCCATGTTCATGGATAGGAAGACTCAATATTGTCAAGATATCACTTCTTCCTGGGCACCTGGGTGGCTCAGTCATTAAGCGTCTGCCTTCGGCTCAGGTCACGATCCCAGGGTCCTGTGATAGAACTCCTCATGGAGCTCCCTGCTCAGCGGGAAGCCTACTTCTCCCACTCCACTCCCCCTGCTTGTGTTCCCTTTCTCGCTGTCTCTCTCTGTGTCAAAAATAAATAAAATCTTAAAAAAAAGAAGATATCACTTCTTCCCAACTTGATCTGTAGATTCAATGCAATCCCAATTAAAATCTTAGCAAGTTATTTATGGATATTGACAAACTGATGCTCAAGTTCATATAGAGAAGTAAAAGACCCAGAATAATTAACATAATATGGAAGGAGAAGAAAAAAGTTGAAGGACTGACACTACTTAACTTCAAAATTTACTCTAAAACTACAGTAATCAATACAGTGTGGAATTGCCAAAAGAACAAAGAGATCAATGGAACAGAATAGAGTCCAGATATGGACCCATATACATATGGTCAACTGATCTTTGACAATGGTGCAAAGAAATTCAATGGAGAAAGGATAGTCTTTGTGACAAATGATGCTGCTGGGAAAATTGAGTGTCTGATTATTTTCCTAGGGCTGCTATAACAAATTACCACAGACTTCATGGCTTGAAACAATAGAATTTATTTTCTCACAGATCTAGAGGTCAGAAGTCCTAAATCAGGGTGTTTTGGACTCTTTAACCTAGCCCAGGGTGATTTCATCCTGAGATCCTTACCTTAATTTTATGTGGAAAGACCCAATTTCTAAATAAGATCACATTCTGAGATTTCAGATAGACAAGAAGGTGTGTGGGGGGTGGGGGGGTGAGGCGGGAAGGCACACTATTCAACCCACTACAATATCCATATGCTAAAAAAAATGAATACAGACCCCCAACAAAAATTAACTCAACATGGATTATAGACCTAAGTGAAAAATGTAGAAGCTCAAAACTTAGAAGAAAACATAAGACAAAATCTAAGTGACCTTGGGTTTGGTAATGCATTATTAGATATAATACCAGAAGTATGATCCATGAATGAAAAAAATGTGATAAGTTGGACTTTATTATAATTAAAGACTTTTGCTTTGTGAAAGACAATGTAAGGAGAATATAAAGACAAGCCACAGACTGCAAGGAGGTATTTGTGAAACACATATCTGATAAATGACTTTGTCATAGTCCATTCAGGCTACTATAACATAGACTGGGTAGTTTATAAACAACAGAAATTTGTTTCTCACAGTTCTGGAGACTGGAAGTCCAAGATTGGGGTGCCAGCATGGTTGGGTAAGGCTCTTTTCTGGATCATAGAATTCTTGTTATGTCCTCACATGGTGTTAGGAACTAGGAAATTCTGTCGATTTTTTTTTTTTATAATCTGATTCCATTCATGAAGGTTCTACCCTCCTGACCTACTCACTTTCCAAAGGCCCCACCTACTTATACCGTAACCTTAGAGGGTTAAAATTTCAGCATATGAATTTTGAGGGGACATAAACATTCAGGCCATAGTAGACTTGTATACAAAATATACAAAAAAACAATAAGAAAACAAACAACTTAATTAAAAAATAGGCAAAAAATCTGAATGGACACCTCACCAAATAAGATATATAAATGGCAAATAAGCACATGAAAAGAAATAAGCACATGAAAAGATGCATAAAATCTCTTGTGGTCATCAAAAACAAGGAAATTCTGAGATAACTGTCATAGTTAAGAGGATCCTAAGGAGGCATGACAAATAAATGTAATGTGGTGTCTGGGGTGGGATTCTTAAACAAAAAAAGGTTAAAAATCAAGAAATACGAATAAACTGTGGACTTTAGTTATGAAAAATATATCAAATTTAATTTATTAATTATAACAAACATACCATACTAATGTAAGATGTTAATAATAGGGAAAACTGTGCAAGATGTTAATAATATGGGAACACTGTACTATTTTCTCAGTTTTTCTGTAAGCCTAAAACTGTTTTAAAAAAATAAAATCTTTTTAAGAAATCAATTATATTTCTATATATCTTCAATAAGCAAATGGAAAAAAAATTGAAAACACCATTAACAATAGCCTCCCCAGGTAAAAAGAAAGAAATACATAGGAATAAATACACTGAATGATATATAAGACTTCTTTACCGAAATCTAAAAAACAAATCTGAAAAAAAGAAGACTTAAATAAGTGGAAAGATATATCATACCATAGTTAAGAGAAAAACCCATAAAGATATCAATTCTTTTCAAGCTAATTTTTAGATTCCATACAGATCTGATAAAATTTCAAGCCGTTTTTTTTAATTCTGGATTTGACAAGCTGATTCTAAAAAAAGCCAAGGCAATAAAGTGAAGACTTACTATCCAGATATAAAGCTAAAGTAATACAATGTGATATTTATTCAAAGGTAAGGAAATAGATGAAATACAAGGAAATAGAGTCAGAAATGGTCCCACACATATATGGTCATCTGATATATATGACAAATGGAATAGACAGTGCATAGGTGTGGGAAAAAGATTATCTTTCCAATAAATGATGCTGTGTAAATTAGATATCATGTGGAAAAAATTATATATTGACTCCCATCTAAGACTAGAGACAAAAATCCATTTCAAATGCTTTAAAAAAGTAAATTTGAAAGATAGAACACAACTTCAAAAATAAAGTATTATAGAACATCTACTTGGCTGGAATAGCCAACGATTTCTTAAGTAGGGCATACATCAACAGTTATTTGATGCTTTATTCCTTTTTTTAGGAATATGACATGATTAAAAAAATCAGAAGTGATAGATAGGTCTATTTTAATATTTAATAACTGCAGTCTATCAAATGATACATATTCAGAAGTAAAAAGAGAACCCATAGAGTAAGAGATGTTTGTTATGCATATATATGACTAAGGACTTGTACTCTACAAATCAATAAGACAAAGACAGACAACTCTGTAGAAAATTGAGCAAGATATATGAATTGCACATCATAAAAAAGAATGTCTAAATGACCAATAAACATATTTAAGATGCTCAACTTCTTTAGTCATCAAAGAAATGTGAATTAAAACCCAGACTACACATACACCAGAATGACTAACATGAAAGATAAACAATACCAAATTTAGTGAAGATATGTAGAAAACACAATTCATACACACTTTGATGAGAGTGTAAACTGAAAAGCCCTTTGGCCTTATAGTCCATGGTACTGTAATAGCATTTATGGTGACAGATGGTAGCTACACTTGTGATGAGCATAGTATAACACATAGAATTATTGAATCACTATGTTCTATACTTGAAATTAATGTAGCATTGTGTATCAACTATACTTCAATAAAAAAAAAAGCTGAACATAGGCTTACCCTATGATCAGAAAAATCTACTTCTAGATATATATCTAATAGAAATGCATATATATGTTCTTCAAAACATATGTACAAAAATGTTCATAGAGGCACTATTTGTAATAGTCAAAACCAAAAAATTACCTAAATGCAAATCAACAGAATTGATAAATAAGTTATGGCATTTACACAATGGAATATTATACAGCAATGAGATTTAATAAACTACATCTACTCTCAACAATATGGATAAAACTCACCAATATGTTGTTGAGCCAAAGAAACTAGATACAAGTGAATAAATGCTAAATGATTACATTTACAACAGATAAAATGAATCTATGGTGTAAGAAATTTGGATAGTGGCATTCTTAGGAAATGAAAGGAAGGGGGCATGAATAAGGATTTGGGATGATGTTAATATTTTGTTCGTGATCTATACTAGATATGTTGGCGTAATCATGAAAATTAATCAGACTGCATACTTAAATGTTTGTACACTTTCCTGTATGTCTATCTTACTTAAATGCAAAGGTTAAAAAAAAAACAAAAAACCTCATCCTCCTTACTCTACTTAATTCATATTATGTTCTGTTTTTCATCCACTTCTCTTGGTTTTTATATTCAAATTATAAACAAAATTTTTTCAAATATTTTTCAAAAATTCATCGATTTATGCACACAGCATTGGAGAATATTTAAATACATATAGCATGTTCGTTGTACAAATAGTATTTCATTTGTGAACAAAAGATCTGTGATGATGTCTTATCTCTGCTAATTTCAAGAAGTATGGTTTTAAAGCAATCATTTACTTTTCTAAGCCTCAGGTTTTTCATATGAAAAATGGCCTTAATGATACCTGACTTACAGGGTATTGTGAGTGTCGAATAAGAATATTTGACAAGACATTTCAGTGATCATGGGTGGTATAGTCCCTGCCCCCAAAGAAAGACCCACTACAGGTTTCCCTTGCTATCTGAAAATAGAGTGTTCCTGTGAAACCTTTCATAAATCCAAATGGCTTCAACTGAAGAATATTCCCTATTTTCTGAAAGTTGCAGTTACACCATTTTGTTTTTACAAAGGACCTACATTAGTACAGAACTGCATTTCCAAATGGCACGGTTTCCTTTTGGGTGGCAGCCTGAGTCCCTTGATATTGCTCAGGTGTCCCGAATCCTGGGGGCTTTGGAGAAAGGTTCTGGGGACTCACCCCTCAGAAGCCAACCTAGGGTTAGGGTTAGGGCTTAGAAGCAGGACAGGCCTGATCTACTGGCACTGTGATGAGCTTCCCAGGGTCTGAGTTGAGGCCATGGGTCAGGGGGGAGTGTCAGGCTTTTGCTTTTTTTGTAAAAGCAAAAGTCCTCTTCAAATTTTTTTGGTTAGCAAAAACAGGTACTAATGTAGGTCATTAATAAAAGTGAAGTGATGTAATATGAACCTTCAGAAAGTGGGGGACACCTGTAGTACCTAATGAAAGTCTAAATGGTAACGAATAAGTTATCACTATTTCTGTAACAATTTCTATATTGTGCTTGTCACATCTCTTTATCATTATTTGTCCACATGCTCATCTCCCCCACTAGATTCTGAGTTCCCTGATGTCAGAACCAGCTTTCTCCATTTTTTATTTTAGATGCTAAAGTAAGTTAAGGAGAAGTAACACTCACACATACTGATTTCCTCTTTCTGTCATGCTTCTTTTGTCCTCAGCATGTGTCACTCCCATTCAACTTTTGATTGAATTATCTAATTGAATTCAAACGATACTTCTCCCAGGAAAAACTCCTTCACTAGAAGTAATCATGATTTATTTTCTCAACTAAATTCCTACAAAACATTAGTGACTGCCCTTACCATGAACCCAACAGATTTTAGACGGAATTGAATTACATATCTTTAATCAAATAATTTTAAATGACTAGAAAATATCAGGACTTGAATATTTATTAAATCCGTAACATCGCAGGAGTACCTTGGTTTGTAATGGTAAGCAAACCCACAAAGGAAACAATGACCAGATTTAACAACATAAAAATGGAAAACCTCTTAGTGACCAAAACAAGTCAAATTCAAACTTAAAACACAAATGGGCTGCAAGAAATACTGCAAAATTAATGAAGTCACTAAGTAACTAGCTAGCTAGCTAACTTGCAAAGAGCCCATTTGCTTCCAGCAGGTCTGTGGCCTCTCTAATGTGAGCTACTTGGGCTCACTCCAGAAAGCATTGATTATTATTATCTTTCATTCTCTGTTTACTAAGTCATTGTTTCAGATATGCTCAACTTAAACTGTTTGCCAGTTGCCAACAACTTGGATAACTACGTGATTAACATGCAGACTCAAACATAATGCTCTGCTCCTGTAATTTTACAAAAGTGAAAAGACCACCCTAGTATTTATTTGCCATTAATTTCCAACCACAAAGTATTTGCAAGAAAAAGTGAAGAGTTACCTGATCCTTGTACCCAGATGGGAAGCATGAGGAGCTGGAGAATGAAATGGCGTGGAAAACCCATGAAATTTATAAAATCTTCACTAATACATGGAGTATTTTATTCTCTAACTGGACTTAGTTCTGAAATGGCATTATCTTTATCGCTTCTCGGCCTTTTGGCTGAGATCAAGTGAAATGGCATTATCTTTTAAATTTCTCACCAAACTCTGTTACTAATTAACCACTGGCTCAGTCCATTAAAACTTTCCTAATCCTAAAACAAAAAACAAAAAACGAAAAACTCTCCTAATCTTGCAGCATTTGTGGACTCCCTTGTCTGCTTCCCCTGTAATTCTGTTGGGATTTCAGGTCTATGCATGTAATTTCTTCAACATATGTGCAGGCAGCTCTGTAGCTGTCACAGATTCAAACACAGGCTCTGAAAACTTACCAGCTAACTTGCAAGAAAATTTAATTAGCTCTTCTTTTGAGAGAGTTATTAATTTTTCCCAGTCTTTCGTGTCCTGTTATTTATGTACATAATAAAATTCAAACTAATTTACCCACAGTGAGTGAGGTCAAGTGAAAAGATTGCTCTCCACAGAGGCATGCTGTGTTTCCAAAAATCATTCCTTTTGGCATCGAAATCCCCATGTTCATCTCCTCAAAATGAAATAGGAAATTAAAAATATAAGTTTTCTGTAAAATCATTGGTTTCAAATTAAATACTATTTATGTATTAAAATTTAAAAAAGAACAGGCACAGATTATTTTCATCTCCTCCCCTGCATAGTACTTTAAATAGAAGGAAAGCACTCTTTACCTAGTGCATTTGTTTTGTGTTTTTCTCATTTAAATTCCAATAGTCACTTACTTGCCTATTGGCATTTTAGGTACACAAGCTCATACAAGTTTCCCCAGAATGGCTTCCTCTTGCTGGGATTGTGGAAAAGTAGTGCTCATTCACTACCAGTTCATAGCACACTTTAACAACGAACATTTGAAAGTAAGGAATTTTTCCTTCCTGCACTTCTGTTATTTCTGGTTTCATTCAGTTCAATTTATTTTTAATTTCCCTGAGACTTCCTTCAAAAAAATTATTTATTTATTTGAGGGGGGTGCAGAGGGAGAGGGAGAGAAATCCTCAAGCAGACTCCCCACTAAGGATGGAACCAGACATGAGGCTGCCTCCCAGGACCCTGAGATCATGACCTGAGCCAAAATCAAGAGCTGGATGCTTAGCCAACCGAGCCACCCCAGGCCCCCCAGGACTTCCTTTTTGACACCTGGATAATGAAGGGTTTTTTTCAATGTTTTCTGTGTTGGGGGGTTTTTCTGTTATTTTTCTATTATTGCTTTTTGTTTGATTCCATGTGGTCAGGGAATATACTCTCTATGCTAAGGTTTGTTTATGATCCAGGATATGGTTGATCTTGGTATATATTCCATAGGTGCTTGGAAAAAAAACAAACAAACATGTATTTTGCTGTTGTAAGGTGACATGTTCTATAAATATTCTTTAGATCCGATTGGTTGAGAGTGTTGTTGGATTCTTCTATGTACTTGCTGATTTTCTGTCTAGTTGTTCTATCAATTTTTTAGAGAGAGGCTATAATTGTGGATTATATCCCACTATAATTGTGGATTTGTCTATTTCTCCTTTCAGTTCTATCATTTTTGCTTCAAATATTTTGTAGCACTGTTGTTTGGTGAATACTTATTTAGGACAGTTATATCTTCTTAGTATATTGACCATTTTACCTTTATGTGCTTTCCCTTTCTGTCTCTGGTAAGTTTGGGGTTTTTTGTTGTTGTTGTTCTGAAACATAGTTAATATAGCTGACCCTGCTTCCTCTTAACTACTTTGCATGCTTTATCTTTTTCCATAATTTTATTCCAACTTACCTATATTTCTTATATTTCTATAATCGAAGTGAGTCTCTTGTAGGCAGTGTATAGCTTTGTCATGTTTTTGTTTGTTTTTTTATCTATTCTACCAATCTCAATCCTTTAATTGGTGTCTATAGATCATTTACATTTAATATAATTTTTATATTTTTAAGGCTTAAGTTTGCCATTTTATTTTTCTATATTCTGTTTGTTCTCTATTTTTTCCTCTATTTTGTTTTTCTGCCTTCTTGTAGGATACTTGAACACTCATAATTCCATTTTAATTTATCTATGGTGTTTTGAGTGTGTCTTCTTAAAGCTTTCTTAATGGTTATTCTAAATATTACATTTTATATGTATGTGTATATATGTATAATGTAATACATAAGTGAAGATATGTGTATATATGTGTATGTGTATACCTTATCACTGTTTACCCTGTAAGGTGTCAACACTTTAGCAGTCCTAGGGAAGTGTAGAAAGCTTACCTCCCACATTCCTTTACCCTTTTCTATTTATACTATAATCATTTTACACATTGCCTCTATATACATTGAGAACTACATTTGGCGGTGTTACAATTTTGCTTCAACCATCAGACATAATTCAGAAAACTCTAAAGGAGAAGAAAGTCTTTTGTGTTTACCCACAAGTTTGCTTACCATGTTCTTTCTTACTTGATGATGTTCCAAGATTCCTTATTTTATTATATTTTTTTCTGCTTAGGGAACTTCCTGTAGCCATTCTTTTAGGAGGAGATCTATTGATGACAAATTCTCTCCATTTTCCTTCATCTGCTAGTGTCTTGATTTCTCTTTTAATTTGTGGAGAATATTTTCCCTGGATATAGATATAGGGTTCATAAGTTCATTTTTTTCAGCACTTGAAAATGTTGTGGCCTCCACAGTTTATAAGAAATCTGCTATCATTTGAATAGTTTTCCCCCTATAAGGAATATATCACTTCTCTATAACTGCTTTCAAGATTTTTTTCTTCATCTTTAGTTTTCTGAAGTTTAACTTCTGTCTTGAGATAAATTTATTTGGGTTTATCTTGTTTGGAGTTAACTCTTCTTGACCCTGTAGGTCTGTATTTTTCCAAATTTGTGAAACTTTCAATCATTATTTCTTTGAATACTTTTTCTGTGCCACTCTCTATATCCTCTCCTTCTGGAAGTCTGAAGACCCAAATGTTAGATCTTTTGTTTTAGTACCACATGGTCCTGAAGGTGTGTTCATTTTTTTTTCAGTCAATTTTTCTGTGTTTTTCAGAATTGGTCATTTGTATTGTTCTCTCCTCAAGTTCTTTCCCCTGTCTTCTCCATTCTGCTATTGAGCCCATTTGTTGCTTTTTAATTTTTTCATTTATTATATTTTTTATTTTTAAAATTTCCATTTGGTTTTTCTTCATATCACCTTCTTGTTTTTCTGTAACTTTTTATTTCTTTGCCCAGAGTTTCTATTTTTTTTCATTAGCCTCAATTGTGCTATAACTAGTCACTGGAGTGTTTTTATAATGGTTATGTTAAATTCTTTTCAGGTAATGCTAAAATGTGTGTCATGTTGGATTTGGTATCTGTGTATTGTCTGTTTTTTAAGTTGGAATCCATTTTAAGTCTTGGAGCACAATGGATAACTTTTAACTGACATCGGAACATTGTGGATATTATAAGATTCTGGACCATATTTAAATCCTGTGTTTTAGCAGTCCTCTTCTAACATTGCTCTAGCAAAAGTAGGGGCACTATCTTGTTACTGGCAGGTCAGGATGGGAGCTAAAGTTCTGTACTCAGTCTTCATTGACACAGAGCTATGGGAAACTAAGTGTCTCTGTTGCTAAGAAGCAGTAATGGGGTACCCCTCTTCTTACTGCTCCTGCATGGCCTCCACTTATACCATGAGAGATAATAACTTTTTTATATCTGGATGATGGTGAATGACCAAACTTTCTATTTGTCTTCCTCTGACATCACCCCAATGAGGAGAGCAAGGGTAACTTGTTCAGGTGGGAGTGGAAGTACAAGCTCCAATATGGTCTCCACTGAATCACAGGGGCCTGAGGCGCATCTTCACTGCAAGGTGGGAATAAAAGACCTAGTTCCCACTAGACCTTTTCTGACACCACCCTCTTTGGTAGGTATGGGAGTAGGGGCAGGGTTCTGGCACCTTGTAAAGTCTGGCATGGGTCAAGTGTAGGCTTCCCACTCAGCTCTTGCTGATGTGTGTATTTGTATATGAGGGAGGGGATGGTTCAAGTTTTCCCATGGAGTTTGGCTGGAGTAAAGCAGTGATTGGTAAACATTTTCTGTTTTGCTAGACTGCCCCACTCCTGGTCATTTGGCTAGAGAGAACAGGCTTTTTTTGAAGTCTTTTAAAAATCTGCACTTACTGGCATTTCCAGGTTTCTAGCTTCTCCAGTACCCAGTCTGAGATAACTGAGGCAAAAAGAAAACTCAAAGAACTTATCTCAGTCAGTTATTCAGGTCTCAAGGTACCTATCTGGCCTCCCTTCCCTTCATCTTTAAATAAGAGTCTTCTCATGCTTGTTTTATATATAATGTCCAGGGCCTTTAGCTGTACTTACTGCAAGGGATAGGAAAAAGTACAGAGACTCCATCTTCCGGAAATGGAAGTCTCACATAATTCAATTTTTAACAACAGGCAACACACTCAAATAGGCACTTCATACAATTCAAGTGGTCAATATACACACGAAAAGATAAGTGCTCAACATGCATAGTTAGATGAAAATTAAATTTACGAATACAGTAATACCAAACATCCAACAGAATAACTAACATTTTTTAAAAGATTGTCAATGCCAAGTATTGGCAAGATTGGTGCCAGTTTAAATTGGCATAATCATTTTGGCAGTATCTGCTACAGTTGTATCTTGCATGCTGTTTGGCCCACTGATTAACTCCTAGATATATACACCCAAGAGAAATGAATTAATATGCCCATCAAAAGAAATATACAAAAAAGGGGTGACCAGGGGGCTCAGTCAGTTAAGTGTCTGCCTTCAGCTCAGGGTCCTGGGATCAAGCCCGGGCGTGGGGCTCTCTGCTCAGTGGGGAGTCTGCTTCTCCCTCTGCCTGCTGCTTCCCCTGCTTGTGCTCTTTCTCTCTCTGTCAAAATAAAATAAATAAAATCTTTAAAAAAATAAAAGAAATATACAAAAATGTAACAGAAGCCTTATTTGTGGTAGCCAAAACTGAAAACAATTCAAATGGTATCAACTCTAGAAAG